GAAAGAAAGGGATCTTGGTGTAGTGGTTGATCAGTCTCTTAGCCATCCAAGCAGTGTGCTGTTGGTAGTGGCAGAGTGAGTAGAATCTTATGTTGTATCTACAGAAATATTGAATACAGGGCTAAAGGAATTATAATGTCATTATATAGGTCACTGGTTAGGCCACATTTAGATTACTGTGTTCAATCTTTGGCTCCTTATCTCAGGAAGGAAACCAAATTATTGGAAAGGGTTCTAAGGAATTCTATTATGGCAATAACTGGGATGGTAAGGTTGTCATACGAGAGTAAGTTAAAATCTCTGAAACTGTTTTCTCATGGTAAGAAGTAAGAAGAGATTTTATTGAGTTGTTTAAGACAGTGTTGATGTCTCATCTTTTTTCATATTTAATGGAGAGAATGGTAAGATTAGGCAACACAAATACAAATTTTGGCAGGATAGGGATCATGTTCAGCTAAGACATCCTTATTTTTCTAACTGGATGCTTAGCCTTTGGAATAGGTTGCCTTAAGATGTGGTAAGTGCAATTAATTTAAGAGAATGCTTGATAAATATATGAATGAATAAAGGCTTTTCATTTTTTATCATAGAGTTTAGTATAATGGATGGGATAGCCTAGATGGATCAACAGATCCTTCATTGTCCTTAAACTATATGTATGTGTACATATTATTAGCATACTTATAGCACAAGACAGCTTAATAATTTTGAGCAAAAATATGTTCTAACACATTTAAAATCAATGAATCTATAAATAAGATAAATAAAAAACATTGAAGTTTCACTGATTATATTTAAAGAAAAATAATACTTTGTTAAAAAAGAAATATAAAAGTATGTTACTTAGTAAATATGAAATGTTTAAGTATTATTAGCATACTTATAGCACAAGACAGCTTAATAATTTTGAACAAAAATATGTTCTAACACATTTAAAATCAATGAATCTATAAATAAGAGAAATAAAAAACATTGAAGTTTCACTGACTACATTTAAAGTAAAATAATACTTTGTTCAAAAAGAAATATAAAAGTATGTTACTTAGTAAATATGAAATGTTAAACTTTGTTTATTAAATTCAACACTTTAATAGCCTAATATATATGAAACATATTGCTTAAATGTCTATTCAATACACATAAATAAATAAGTTTCATTTCAACATCTATAAATTTATTTTAGTGAGAAAGTTGTTGTTAGCAGTAGTCTTAGTGTGGAAAGGGAAAATATCAAATAAGCAACATGACATCTTGACTATGTATGTTCCTTTTGAAAGATAATTATTTGTTCAGATTATTAGTTCAAAATAATTAATAATACTTTATTTAAGCTGTTGAGTTATATTTTTATTTAGTTGTGAAGTATTAATATTATATAACTATGCTAAGTAAGACATAAAGATTTGAATTGTCAACCTGTCCTTGCAAAATTTTGATATCCTTCCTGTAGTTAGGGTACAAAAACAATATTCCAAACAGGGTCTTATCAATTCACACTATGTTACAATAATTATCTTAGTCTTAAATTCAAAATTACTATAAATAAAACTAAGAGTTCTTATTTGATTTTTTCACACTTAAATCTTCTTTTTGTAACCTCTGTACCCTATGTGCATCTTTTAACACTTTTCAACAGTAAAACTGAACAAAGAGGAATGATCTTCTAGTTCTATGCTTACTTTATTTTATCATTATTTCCCTAGTAATAGTACTTCTACTACTGGTACTAGTTAAGGACACAGTCACACAATTCACGATCTCTTATCGTAAAGTTCTATATGCTACAATTTACAACTGAGGCTTATTGAGATTCATATTATTTTTATAGTTATTGCTTATACATATTCTGAAACAGTAATTGGTAGGCCTACATTTGACACACTTACGTGCAGTCTTGATTGAAATTGACGAAAAATACTCCACTGTTGGGATCCCCACCTTCACCAGCTAAATTCATCAGGGAGGATATTCCACTTTTGAAACCTTCCGTTAAATAATTTAAATTACTGGCTAAGTGTTGCATAAGATCTAACGTTAAAGATCTATTTCACTTTCATGTTTCGTCATTAGGAAAAAAAATTGGACTGGGAGTTTGTACAAATAAATAAGTTAGTCAGACTTCTTTCTCAAGTCAGTTACGGCTTGAAAGTTGAATAAGTATTCAAGAATGTACGAAAGTTTTAGTAAGTTCAGCTCAGATTATTAAGCACTACTCTGGTAACTTATAGTTAAACGTACAATTACGTAATAAGTCAACGAAACTTCACAACATGTTATCTGTAACTGGTAAACGTATGTTATAATAACAATCCAAGGTATACTATAACATTTGCTCATACGATATAATCGAATAAGGTTTTTGTGTTATATGGTTATTTCCTCCTTATAGGTGGAGTCAAAAATTGGCGAATTATATTAAAAAACACGATGAATATTAAAATATATATTTAAATAAATAATTTTAAAATATTTCGTTTCACAGACCCCTGTTTGTTGGTTTAACGTAAAATAATAATTTGTACGATATGATAATTACAAAAATATTAACACTTGTAAAATATACATAACAATTATAGCTGTTCAACATTGTAAGATTAAGATTGCAAGTCAAATAATTATTCAACAATATTTCAGCTGTAATGATTAATTTCGCAAGCTATAATGTAGAAGGTAACTTGAATTGGACTTTAAATACAGTATACTATAAATCACTGAACTGTCTTCGTTAAAATAAACTTCATTTTTATTTGGAATATTTGAATTACCTTCTGTTCATTAAAACATTTGAAAAATATAAATATAATTTTTCTGGTTCATCTTTCTTTTTTTTTTTTTAGGCATAGCCAGGTGGTTAGGGAGCTCGACTCGCAATCTGTTAAAATGATACGGTCAATTCTACTATTCGTTGGTAAAACAGTCGTCCAATAGTTGGCGGTGCGCAGTGATGACTAGCTGCCTTCCCTCTAGTCTTACACTGCTAAATTAGGGACGGCTAGTGCAGATAGCACTCATGTAGTTTTACGCGAAATTCAAAACAAACAAACTCTCTCTTTTTTCTTTCTTTTTTTTTTTGCATAGGCCTATGAATATACATGTGTTAGATATTGTTGTGAAATATATCTTTGATATTGTAATTTATTTTTAGGTAAAGGAAGTTACGAGTTCTATTGATAACGTTAAGATCAAATAGGCCTAGAAATTCTAGGAGATTTGACATCACATTTTTTGGTACATTCGAGTAAATATTATGTACGAGATAGTTGTGACATTGAGTTGTTTTAAAATAAAAGACTCGTTTCTAGTCTGTAGAGGGGAATCAGTCAATGTATTTCATTTATCTATTGTTTCAGCCCTGAAATGATAGATGTAAATTTATTCTTTACTTTATTTTAGTGCAGTTAGTTCCATTTGTAAATGAAGTCTATAACTATATACAGTGAAGGCAGTTTGTAAAAACGTTAAGTTATCGTTTACATGGACTAGACTTGAATTATTTTCACTGAATACTTTAAAAGAATCCATTAGTGAAAGAACAACGCTACAAAAACATTTTTTTAAGTAGGCAAAGCGTAAGTATTGATAATGTTCCCACTACAAAGATAACTTCCAGAGCAACTCTTAACAGAAGGAAATTAGCAACTTTTCCATCATCTCCAATGTCTGTTGACTAGCCAAAAATTACTAATTCATTAAAAAAAACTCCCGTCTGCTCCACATAACATTTTCACTCATCCCAATTCACTTATGATAAATCTTGTCTCACGAACTCAACATATAATTTCTGGAAATTATGAGCGAACATTCCATTCTATTTATCTCAACATATAACAAAACATCAAGACTAATTATAAAATGATCGCTCTTCCACAAATATTCCTCCATTTCAACTCTTGCAACCATATCTTCATTAGTGGTTAACAATAAATGTAAAATGGTTGTTTCTCTGACTATTTCCTATATAAAAATATTCTGAATCACTTAAAAAAAATCCCTTGCTATTTGACTGCATGCAATCCCAATCAGTATGTCTAAAATAAAACTTTCACATAATTGTTTTACTGAACCAATAAAGAATGGTGGGATTTAAATTACGATCAATGTCTCATTATGATGTAATATTACTATCAAATGTTTTGCCTCGTCAGCTTAAAAGCGATCTACACTCTAAGCCTAATTCACGTTTCCTTGCCAGCTTAAGCGATCTACACTCTAAGCCTAATTCATGTTTCCTTGCCAGTTTAAGCGATCTACACTCTAAGCCTAATTCATGTTTCCTTGACCCAACCAATGAAGCCAAGTTTTCTCTACTAGCCTTTACTAGTCAAGACAACTTTTCTCTAAAAACTATTCTAACACGATTCTAAAAAAAACCTCTACAAAAACACGCCAGAAATAATGGTAAATCATATTATCATGTGACCCTTTACAAAACAATATTCTGGACTTGGCAACACCATATTACCATTTGATTTGATAGACCATGTCGTATATAAAGCTGTGGGAAGTGATGAAAAACCATACTAACTTTTAAACTATTCTAAATATCAATGATTCGAAAATAATCATTAAATAAAGTTTACATTTGTTGTGTAAATATCCATTCTAATTTTATGTCGAGTTTTGAAACCATCCTTAATAAACGCTTATAAAGAAACAGAACTGAATGTTATGTGTATGCAAGTAATTCTAACGTTCAGTTGTAAGTCTGAAACCCTAAAAACGGGATTTCGATTCCCATGGTGTGCACAACCCAAACAGCACATTGTGTAGCTCTGTACTTACCTACAAACAAACAGAATTTCAGTCCGAGATTAACTGACAAAAAGATTTTTAAGAACCAAGTAGATTAAGGTCTACTTTTCACGAATCAAAAACATTTCCTTGATCAAGAGCAGTTTTGAATTTATTTGTGTAAGCAACTTTTAAAGTGACGTTTATAAATGTTGAACTAGTACATTGAGCTATTTTTACGTGTATATTGCTATCATAGAAATAATAGACAGTTAGAAAGGATCGCATCACATTAGCTTCCCGTTTAGTTAAATGTGAATTTAAAACATTGTAATATTATTTTGTAAAACAAACAAAAAGTTTTTAATTTCTGTTGTGCGTATTGGTGTATAGAAGACATGTTAATATTAGAAATAACCGACCTTAAATGTTGTTTTTTTTTTTTTAATTTAGACACTCAACGTTTCGCTTTACAGCATCTTCAGGAGTTTTCACCAAACGCAAACCGAAACTGACAGTACAAAGCTTCATTGGTTTAAATAATAAATTCTACGTTTTGGTGATATAAGGTCGTTTATTCCTAGTATTAAAATAAAACGTTTTGAAGAAACGTTACCCCTAGTGACAGTAAATATTGTTACACATAGATAAAAAGAAGATCGCAAAATCAATTAAAAATGAACCTGGTAATGAGTATAGTTGATTAACTATACTTTTCTTACGTTTTTATCCATAAATATTATAATCCATTGTTTCATTAGTTGGATACTCTCATTGTTAACGAATTTTCAACCGAAACTAAATACAGGTTGACCATCACTACTAGTCCGGCAATCAGTAATCCGGCACTAATTTCGGCTAGAACAATTTCAAATACAGTAAAGCAAGATATTAGGTAGATACTTTAGTCTCACTTGAAAGAATTACTTTGTAGTGTACCTGTGCCTGTATTTCATTAATTTTTTCACTTGAATTTATTTGATAATTATCTTTTTTTTATTAATCAACTTGTACTGTTTTATTGGATATTTTAATTTTAAGATGAGGTGGTTAGCTAGTGGGTTTGGTGTATTCTAACCTAATAGATGGCTAATCCGGCACCCTCCAGGTCCCGATGATGCCGGATTAGTGATAGTCAACCTGTATTTAAACACAAGTGACACAAGACCTGTTTATTGCGCATGCGTGCCGTACGTGTCCGATGACACGAACTATTTTCTCATAACAGTCGTTGTTCATAAAAATTATTTTATGTATTTATAACTCCCACCCGATTGAAGAGTCCAGGTACTAACGAAAGACCTCGTCGGCACTAGATATGGTTACAATTGTAAAACATTTTAGTTAGCAAAGATAGGAAGAGGTCTTAGCGCACCTGACCCTCCTAGGTCACAAAGACCTAAATTCCTGTCAGGAGGAGAGAGAGAGAGAGTTAGCAAGGAGTAAACCTGTTGGCTACAAAAATAGACAGATATGCGTGTTTGTTTTTACAAATAATTGTTTGACAAAAGTTTTCATTGTTTAAACATCTTAGATTGTGATGTATCAATACACGTGTCCATGATATAGGCATGGCTACATCGGGTCAACGACACGAATCCTAGCTACCGGAATCAAGGAGCATGCGCAGAATAGCCCTTCCAACGACTCTGGAATCTACAACCACACAAAGACTGTAGTGAGAAGGTTAACACTTTAAAATAATTGACTCAACAAAAGATTAATGGACGCTAAGAAAAAAAAAAAAGAAGCCCTGTTAATTGAGAAAACAAAACCAAGACTAAACAACAATGTTTCAAAAAAACTATGTATAATTCTCACTAATTCATTAATTAATTATTCATTAATTCTCACTGGTTGTTTCTTGGAGCAGTTTTTATATAAAATCACCCTTAATCAATTCAATAAATCTCCCCCCTTTTATTTGACTATCTACAGTCCCAATCAATATGTTTAAAATTAAAGTTTCCATAAGGTTTTTTTTTTGGGGGGGGGAGTAGTAAAGAATGGCGCGATGTTCTATGCCTAATTTATACTTCCTTCACCCAAAGAAGTCAGTTTTCTCCCCCCACCCATCCCCAGTGGCTCAGTGGTAAGTCTGAAAACGTTTAAAATAATACCCAAAACTCGAGCGCTTTCGAATAGTTGACTATTCTTGTTCAGGAGAACAAAGAAGAATAGTCAACTATTCGAAAGCGCTCCAGTTTAGGGCCCTATTTTAAGCCTATTATACTTTATATGTGATCCTTTGTGCTAACTCCTTTATCAAAACAAATTTAAAACGCTGAAACTTGGTTTTGATACTCGTGGTGGACATAGCACTTTGTACAGCTTTGTGCTTAACAACGTAGAAACAAAAACCAATTTTCTTCCTAAGTCTTCGCTAGTTCAACTATATCAAATCTTATAGAATCTAACACATTCTTCTTTGCTTTCACTCACAGTTCCGTTCAAACAAACCTATTTTCTATAATAGTCGCAAAAATGATATTATTATCCTTGATATTTACGGTCTACTAATAAAATAAGGTTGTTTTTATTAGTTTATGAAACCTTTAAAGTTGTAGAATTTAACTCCAGTACTTTGCTAGAAGTTATAGTAGTTAACAAAGATTGATCTTGTAAAGTTACCTGAAA